GGCAGGTAATGCACCTGAGGATGCTGCTGCATCGCCTCCTCTTCACTCCCTTCAATCCCTCCTTCCATTTTACTCCAAGTTTACAACTTCATACACCTGCATTCAACTTCGCAAATGTATCACAAATTCACAGAAAACGCCCTCCTGATAGTGTTAACATGCCTTTTTATTCCAAAGCATTAAAAATCAATGCTAGCGCGCAATTGAGTGCATAAGTACACATTCAATCACGCATATAAATCTTTGTACGATTCCATATGTGAATTGTGAAATGTAGGGTTAAAATAGCGTATATACCATTCATGAATCAAGAGAAAGCCAGTTCGAGTGGGAATTGACGGAGGCCCCGTACGGTTCCGGACCGGCGATAAGTTAGATTGATGCAGTCGGCGGCGATGATCGGGAAGATCGGTCGACGGACGGTGTGGATTAGATTGGGGGGAGGGAACCGTGAATTGGGAATCAAGCGTTGGTAAATTGTATGGCTTGGGGATGATTAGAGGAAAAAAGGCACGTCTTTGATTAATTTTTCTTTTTAAAATTTTAAATTTCCTTTACTGATATGCCCCACAAATCTTGGAAAATTATGGAGTAAAAACTTTCCAAATCTCGATCCCAATTTTTTATATAATTGTACAAGTAACAAAAATAGCAACACTTTTGTTTTCGTTTTCTTTAACCACTTATATGTACTAGTATTACATCCCGTGCATTGCATGGTTCGTATAAACGTTATAAATTTATATTGGTATTATAAAAAAAGTAAATAAGTATACCATATAATGAAATATAATGTTTTTCAATTGTGTAATACAGTACATAAATTATCTCCACCACATTTTCCTATTCTGAAAAGAAGGGGAAACATGTATCCATCGTTTTCCCGCTCGAGTGACTTCTTAAATATAGTTTAAGATATTAAAATGGCGAGTGTTTTAAAAAAAGAATTAAAAAGAATGAATGATTGAATTTTTGATATTATTATTTTTATTAAAAATCAAAGGAGGTTAGATTTATTTTTCTTGAAACGCCGATTTCATAACCTTTTAAAGCATAGAAATAAGAAGAGGAAAGATTTAAAAGAGGAGGAATGCTTGATTTTTATTAATAACTTTAATGCGTATGCAATTAACATGGTGCAAATAAAATACATAAGATTAAAATTTTAAAACTTTCATTATTAAGCACAAAAATACTCACGGTTTTAGAATTCTTGCAATATTTTTTTATTTTCCGCCACACTAAAAAAAATTAGTTACGCGTATAATAAAGAAAAAAAGTTTCAAGAAGTTAATTTTTTTAACATCGACTAATACTCGACAAAGACCTGGCAAAAAATGACCCGACCTGTTTTTGACCCGAGATGCGAACCGAAAATACTGGGTTTTGAACAAAGGTTTTACTGACCGAATCCGAAGTTGACTGAACCCGAAATGACCCGCTAAAAATGGGTCAAACCCGACCGAACCCGACCAGACCGACCCGCTAATCTAAGATTTTTTTTAGGATCATACATTTTAATATGAAATATAGTGTTATAAAAATAAGATTATAATTATATTTCTTTTCTTACTACTCATTTTTTGTGTATAGATTTATACCATCATAACAAATTTTAATGATGTCGCATAATTATCTTACATTTTTTAAAAATTTCTACATATTTAATTTTTTTATTCGTAATATTGACACTAAGTCATAGAAATTATTTAAAATTTCAAAAAAATTAATGAAACTCATAACCCGTTGGGTCAACCTGAACCCGATGACACTGGGTCATGAACATGTAGTTATCAACCCGAATCCGAACTTATCCGAACCTGAAGTAACCCAAACTCAAGGTGACCAAACCCGAATTCGACCTGACCGACCAGTTTGCCAGGTTTACTCGGCATATCAGACAAATAAAAAATGATTCAAAAAGGGGCCTTTTCGTTTAACATGCTAATAACTTCCAAAATTCTATGATTTCTTTTTTTTGATCATTCTTTCTTTTCTTAATATGTTAAATATGTTTTTTCATGCATAAAAAATCCCCTTCAGTTTTCAGGCATTAAATATGTACGGATTTTATAAAGTTAATTTCTTTTTTTAAATAGTTAAAACTTTATCATTTATATACACAATGCTTTCCTTTTATAAAACCATATTATTTATATACACCGCATTAAATTACACATGAATCTTATAAGGTATTTTCCTTTTATAGAATGAAATAAAATCATATTTGCATGTTGCTTAATTATAATTACCGTAGATTAAAAATGTAGATCAAAATCAATGGTCCATAAACGATAGTGTTTGGGCGGAAACAAACATTGGGCATAATTTCCCTGCTTTTAAGAATAGGATTTAGAGTACATGTAAAACAACAAATTTGTAATAAATAATACTCGTATTATATCTATTTCAAAATAAGTTTTATAGTTTGACTTTTTGAAGTTTAAAATTGAAAATTTTAATATGTGTGATTGAATTTATTTCTAAAAGAGGAAAGGGGAAGATCTAAAATAAATTGTGGAATAAATAAAAGAACATTTTTGAAATAAATAAAGAACATGCATAAAAAAAATTATAGCATAAATCTTTTGGTTGGAATAAATAAAAGAACATGTAAAATCTATTTTGGAATATAGATGGTGGATATGAGATAACTATTAAACTATTTAAAATTTTTATCTAATCACAACATTTAATTCTAAAGTTTTTAAAAATAATTTTGTATCATTAACAAAATATTTTATTGTATTGTTATTTTAAAACTTAGAAACCTTTCCTTTTGTCTTGTTTGATTTTGTTAATATTTGATTGTATATTATTTAATTTAATCTGATATGATTCAAGTAGAATTTAAAATAACTTTTACTTGTAATTTCAACTTAAATAAAAGTTAAAAAAGTAAAATTACGCAGAAGGAATAAGTTAATATAAATCACTCATTTTATATTGTTCAACGGAAAAAGAAAGTGGAAATTTAATTTGAAATGAAAAGAATAAGTAATCCAATTCAGAATTTGTCCGTATTTTCTCAATCTAATTAATCACAATGAACCAATGTTTCTGTCTCCACTGAGATTCGAATTTGGTGAATTTTTTCATGAACTTGAGGATTGGTTTTCTACCCCTCAAGCTAAAGGAGAAACTCACCTTTTCAACTTACTAAATACCCCGAGTGTTATTTAATTTTATTTTTTATTGAATTAGATCAGAAACCGTTCTAAATTACATTTTTTAAAAAAGGAAAACGCTCTAAATTATGGCTCTGTTTAGTATCAGCATTAGAAATTAGCGTTCGAGTTTTAAAAATACTATCTGACAGTAGCCTTTTACATTAGTATTTCAGAATTAATCTAAATAATTAAAATTTATCTAAAATGGTAAAGCTAGTCCAAATTGTAACCAAAGAAGGCCTACGTGTGAATTCAAATGCTAACGCTGGAAGAGAGATTATTCTCTCTGTGTCCACAGTTTTATCCGGAGCAGCAGTAGCCAGTAAGAACACAAATTATACCAGAAGCTGTGTATAACTATTAACTATACTCCATATATTAGCCGCAGGCAGATATGGCGGTCTTATTCTCTCTTTCATCATCAGCGGAAGCCATTTCTAGCCCTAATTTCATTCACAGGTTGTCAGAGACGCCGTCGTCTTCCCCATTGAAACCGATCAGAACTGTTTGTTTCTGCGACAGCGCGAAGCTAAAGCTGAGCTTGAGTGCCGCCTGCACCACCGCCACCCACTCGCCGCGGTCTAGAACCAGGGCAGTTTCTCGCGGAGATCTGTCCGGCGGAGAAGATCTCGGAGAAGGGAGGGTTTCTCACGTCCAGACGAATGGGGTTGGACTAGTCTCTGAAGGATCGCTTTTGCTTTCGCAGGTAGAATCGTTTGTTTATACATTGGTTTAGCTTGAATTGGTTTTCGTTCTGTTGATGCCGCAGTGTTCATATCTGGTAGGGTTTTACTCATCAGACGCTGGGTGGGTGTTATTGTTTATGAATAGAGAAGTACATTATTTCATCTTCAGTTTCGTTCATTTTGTTTGAATTTTCTGTCTCAGCTCTCTTTTATGCATGCTTCTTGCTGACGCTAATTGGTTGAATGCAAAGATCACATCTTTGAACGTGTTTATTTCACCAACTCAACTTTGGAAGTGTTTTTATGCGTGTTCGTGCTTTGGCTAACAAAATGGGCTTCGCAGGTTGCGTGATTGGTATAATTTGAACACAGGCGTGACTCATGAGTCTGATCAAGGTGATCAGTCAGTCAGGTTCTTCTTGAATAATAAGCTTCCTTCTCCATTGGTTCAACCGCCGAGTATCTTGAGAAGTCCATTGTTTGGCATCTTAACAGAATGCTGCCTATCTTTTCCCAATACCGACTCTGTTTTACTTATTAATACTATCTTCCAAAGTCAGGGATTGCCTTATTTTATTCAATCACATTTTGATTTTATCATGAAGTTCCTTGAGCAAGTACTCTTTCTCGAATGGAGTCATTGTGTGCATTGCCATCTCTGCCTATTTGTTACTTTAGGACAAAAGCAATGACAAACTTGTTATATGGTCTCATTGTCTTTTTGTCATTACAAGAGCACGAGCATTATTGTTCTGAACTATATTATTGCTCCCAACTTTGTCACTTTGTGGTAGAAATATTTTTCAATACGTCCAAACAGACAGTGAAAAAGTATTACCCACAATCACTGAACTACTACAAACAACAACCCAGTTAAATCCCACAAGAGTAGGGTCTGGAGAGGGTGTGTGTACGCAGACCTTACCCCTACTCGAAAGTAGAGAGGTTGTTTCCAAAGAGACCTCCGACTCAACGTCGAAAGTTGCATTGCTTGACTAACTGCTACTTCATTAATTAAAGAAGCGCACACAGTTTAGAGATCCATTTTGATTTATTCCATCACACCCCAAAGCCAAAAAATGGTGAAATTTTGGCTCCATCGGAGATGATGGAAAGGAATCACTGAACTACTAAAGAAGGAATATGTATATACTGCTTCTAATCTAGCATTCTAGCCTATAAGCTTGAGATATTTCTGGAAAGATTATTCTAAAAGTTGAAACATATGCATAAATGACTTTCCATGATAGTCTTCAATGTAAGTGTTAATTGGCTAATTCAGCTTTGTTTTGATGGACTCTCTTGTTTTCTGAAGGGTGATTCTGATGGGAAACAAACAAGGCAAATTAATATTAACGAAATGCCTAAGGTGGTGATGCCCCTTCAAGTCTCACTTGGAGGCACAACTGGTGGAGGAGGTGCACGTGCCGGACTTTTTAGAGCCCCAATATCAGGTGGTGTGCAAAGTGCAACCTCAGCTCATGGTCTACACAAACCTGCAATTGCAGTCCGCAATCTAATGGAGCAGGCATGAGTTACTTTTATCAGTATTGAAACCCCGTATTTGACTAAAGTGGCTGAATTTTCTTAAAGAAAAAGCATTCACTAACATCCATTTCAGTCAAATAAGTCAAAGGCTACTTATTGTTTTGGAAAGCCGAATAAGCTAGGCAAGGCTATCAAACGAGCCTTAAATTGGGTAAGAATTTATATAACCGAGATACAGTTTTATATATTCTACTCTTATTGCAATTGTGTAGGCCAGATTTGCTCATTTGTGCACGTTGATGTCTCGAATGCATCACAGAAGAGAAGGTTACCCCTTTGGTTCACTTGTAGACTTTGTCGCCGACCCTATGGGACGTAAGTCACGACCTGTATTCCAACAACCACTTTATAACTTGATTATTTCTCTTCCAATTCTCTAAACTTTTTGGCAGATCCGGTGCTTTTATTATCACCATTAGCTATACATACCCGAAACTTGATAGGTGACCCGAGGTGTACATTAGTTGTCCAGGTCAGTGGTATATACCAAACATTTAGAATCTACAAGGTATGTGTTGCCCTTGCTGGTCTAGTGTTATGATCTTTTGGCTTTTCAGGTTCCTGGATGGACTAGCTTGTCAAATGCTAGAGTAACAATATTTGGTGACATTCATCCTCTCCCAGAAGATCAACAGGTAGTTTGCTGCCTTTATTGTTCAAATTGTTGCTAGAATTTCAATGTTATTTCCCTGAATTTTAATATTCTTCTCAATGCAACATTGCAAATTCTCCATGGTATTATGTTATATAATATGTGCATTTTGCATTAGCTTCATTGCCTATGAAGCTAAAAAATCATTTTTTACCATGTTTTAGCTTTAGGTAAATTATAGACTAAATAAAAATGACTCATTACACATCCCTTGCTTCTTACTTTCTATGAAGTTTTGGGTAGTAAATGCATCGAGTGTCTAATGGAAACAACCTCTTTGTTTTTTACAGCTGTGTACATCTTGACCCCCATACCCTAACAAAATTGGGGATTACATTGGGTTGTTGTTGCATCATATTTGTTGTCATTATTTGTATCTGTCTTTCTGTTTCGTTTCTTAGAATGAAAAATATTGCAAGAAATATTTCTAATGTCAATGCATGTAATCCGATAGTAGTCTGATGTATGTCTTTCTAGGAGTGGGCTCATAAGCAATTCATAAAGAAGCATCAACAAGGCCCTTCACAACAGTGGGCAAACTTTTATTACTTTAGGATGAATAATATAAGGTTAGTAGGACTCACTAATTACGTATAAATTTTTAAGCTATATAAGAATTCACGATTTTATTGTTATTATTATTATTATGCTGATGTACTTGTAATAAATCACCTGATATTTCCTATCATCAGTGACATATACTTTATAGGAGGGTTTGGAACTGTTGCTTGGGTTGATGCCAAGGAATATGAGACTGTTGAGCCAGACAAAATTATTGTTCATGTGGCTGAAAAATACCTCAAGGTATGCTGAAAAATACCTCAAGTTGTTTATCTTTTGCATTCTCTAGCTATTAGAATGGCGTGGTACTTGAAGATGAGGTTTTGTAGTTTAAACTTTTAAGGAAGATTTGCCTAAATTTTTGTTGAGCTGATTAAAAATAATATTTAGTCCCCTTTTTGTTTTGTTATTTGATGTTTTAGGATATGTTCAGTAATTGACAAGCTTTGGAATAACCTGATTGGGACACATTATAAAAAACATAAAATTTAGAGTAAATTCCATAACTGGTCCTTCATAACAGGGGCTTTTTCTAAGATATTATGTTCGTGGTCCTCTATATTTGAGAATCATTTCATAATTAGTCCATTGATCCAAATATTGTTTTCCACATATAGCCGAGGCCCGGGTCCTACCCCCTAAACCCGGACAAACCCCAAGCCTCCCGACCCCCCTTAACTTGGATCTTTGAACCCATCCCTTCATCCGAGGCCCAATGGAGCACCATCGGGCACCCAAATGACTAGGTGTCATGACTATGACACTGAGATGTGGTGTCAAAGGAACTGGGCCAAAGGAAAACATTGCTGAGTGATGTTTGCCGTCAATGCAGGAATTGAATGCAGTGTTCTCGAAGCCCCTAAGAGAGCTATTGTCCCAAGAAGCTGAGGTCGACGATGTGGCTCTCATATCAATAGATAGTAAGGGCACTGATATCCGCGTCCGTCAAGGAGCTCAGGTACTCTAATACTCACTTATGTCCACTCAGATAGTGTCTATCTGAGTAGTGCCCGGCGTGCCCGGACCTTTAGATTTGCATTGCCCGAGGCAGGCTACCAATACTCAATCTGAGGACCGAGCACCCACCCGGACACTCCCTTTGGACATTTATTTATAGTCTTTCTCTGCAGTTCAACATACAGAGGATGTCATTTGAAGCAGAGCAATCATTTGAAACACTTGAAAAAGCCAAAGAAGCTCTCTGGAAATTGATTGGTAAGGGCAAACATTATCAATTTCAGAAATGAGTATCTGCCAAGGGAGATTGGGAGATTTGTAGCATTAGAAACTCAAGTATTTATCTGAAAAAAAGAGACACATTTGACCTCTGTACTCTATTAGACAGACTTACACACTTGACTCACCCCCACATTTTTTTGTTAGTGTCTCACTGTCTCCAGTTCTTGTCTAAAACAATAATAGAGTTGTCATAAAACATTAGTCCTTCCGTCCAAGAGGAATTTGTCGCCTTTAATGTAATAATATACACCAAAGGTCGACAAATTCTAGCAAGGCGGAAGGAGTCGAATATAATGGCTGTAACGTTTTTGTATTTAGTACTTATTGTTGTTGATGTATTTCTCCCACATGGCAAATTCCTTTGTGATCCTTATTATTCATGTTCATTTTATAGATTTTAATAATATAAAATAATACTTCCTCCGTCCATAAATAAATTCTCCGTTGCGCGTTGAAAAATGGTGTAAAATTTAAAAATAAAAATTACACATTAAAAAACTATATCAAAAAATCTACAAAACTAGAGGTGACATGACCATATTATTTTATCAAATGGGTGACGAAAATAGGCCAACAAAGTGAATAAAGTTTGACCATGTGAATATTGAACAAGAAGTTTATTTGTGGATGGAGGGAGTAATCTGTAGTGGGCCAAATGTTAAAGGAAAAAGATCCAATTTTGAGTTCATGTAAAATATCTGAAAAGGTTGACATTTCACATGCTAATGTTTAATTTTAGTACCACTATAATACAACTCTTTCCACATAGATACAGTATAACATAATTTGGGAAGGAGGGAGTGCTCATTTTGGTCCCTCTAAGTGCGTTCATAAGTTAATTTGGTGTGAGAATCAAATAGTAAGTAAGTCTGAGAAAATTTAGCTAGATATGGGGTATTTTTTGTCAGAAATTAAAACTGTGAATGAGGTAGGTTACTATATGAGTGGCTAGGGCTCAAGGTTGGAATTCAAACTTCAAAACATTTAAAATAATAATAATATGGAGTACTAATTTGGTATTCGGTAAAAAACCGAATTACCAAATTTTTAAATGAAACCAAACCGAAAACCAATTTTAAGAAAAAAGAAAAACTAAATACCGAACCAAATTATATGGTTCTATTTCTGTACATACTAAAATTTTAGTTTTGCAACCGTTCAGTCAGTTTAATGAATTGTGCACACCCCTAACTCCAGCAGCACCTTGCTCCCTTCTGAGAATGCTAAAATCCTAGAGGTTTTGTGTGAATGTGTACCTTAACCCCTAAAATAGGGATGACAATGGGTCGGGTTCATGTCGAATAGTACTATACCCGAACCCGACCCGAAACCCAACTTTTTAAGCCAAAAACCCGACCCGAATCTGACATTTAAACCCGAAACCCCGAACCTAAAACCGTAATTTAACCAATAATCAATTCAACGTACCCAATAATTTTAAAAAGATTAAATCTAATTTTTTTGTGTCTTTTTTGTGTGTCTCATTTCTTGTTAAGGAATTATAAAAATAATTATAAAAAGCATACTTGATATTGTAGCACCTTGTCAAGATATTATACGGAGTGCTCATTATATCCTCGCCTCTTTCCTGTCTTTCTCTCCTCCCTCTTCTCTCTTTCTTCATCTTCTTTTCTTCTCTCCACATTTGTTCCTCTAGATCCGTTCGCTTTGCTTCTTCTTCTTCTCCTTCTTCTTTTTCCTCCTCTTCTTCTTTCTCGCCCCTATTTTTCTCCATATATGTTCCTCCTCCCCTTCTTCTCTCCCCATTCTCCCCTCTGTTCTTTCTCGTCCTCCTTTTTCCCTCCAGACCCGTTCCTCTTTCTTCTTCTCCCCTAATTCAAATCAATTCATGTTCTTTCTTCCTCTTCTTATTCCCCCTTTTCTCCTACTTGTTTCTATTCTAAATCTATAAGGTCTGGGAAGATCTAGGGGCTGAGGTGGTGGTGAGGGCTGCGACGATTGTGGGGGGTCGACGATATTTTTAGGCCTGCGGAAGTGGTGGGATGGGACTGACGGAAATAGTGGGAGCAAGGGGCAGGGGGTAGTGGGTAGGGACTAGGGACAATTGGGGAAAGGGTATTTTGGACATTTCCATCCTAAAGTTAATACTTCATAAAAATGAGAAAAAATCCGAATGAGAAGTTTAATGCCAGACAGATGGAGTATATATGTCTTTTATGATCTCATTTTTATCGTTGCTATTTGAGCCGAGGGCCTATTGAAAACAACTTCTCTACTATTTAGTAGAGGCAAGATCTGTGTACAGCGTACGTATACACTCCCTAGACCCTACTCTTGTGAGATCCAATTGTGTTGTTGTTGCAGCAAAAATATCTTATGGTTCAATCCAATGATCACAAACCCCATCCTAAGTTCTATACTAGTATCTTTTAACATCCTGCTTTGTTTTTATAATCTAAAAGAAGAGAGCCTGAGTAAACAAATGTAGAATGACGCTATGTTTTTATAAGAATAATGAAAATATGTTTAACGGCCTAACATCTCCACTACCCCCAGCAGTTTTAGGAAATGAGCGGCAGTGCCCTCTTGTTTTCAAAACTTATTAATAAAATCGCTATGGTTTCAAACTTATTAATATTTTCTTTTTTGTTTTTCCAGTATAAAAAGATAGCTTTTTGGGGAAATTCAAAAAATAGAATTAGGAATAGGAAAAAAGAAATAAAATAAAAAATGAAAGGGAAATTTAAAATATATAAAGATACAAAAATACTCTTAAAAAGAAAACTTAGCTATTGAGTGTGCTAATAAGCTTCCTTTTCTAGAAGTCTAGACAAATCCTTATAACTCGGATGCCCAGAATTGGTGATTTCTTTTGATTCTAAAAATAAAGAGGATTTTTTTCATTTTTTTGAATCTGTTGTACCCTAGTCCAAAAAATCTTCTTTTTCTTTACCCAAGAGATAAAAATATTGATAAAAGAATAATTGACTTTCATTAATTGAATATGGAGAATACATATGTATATAAATAGGAGGTAGATTCCTAACCTAATTAGGAATCATAATGGTAGCTACCTAAATTACAATATTTCCATAAACAATATTTATACTAATTATGAATGTCTAACATCTCCCCTCAAGCTGAACTCCGTGTAACGAGTGGAAGCTTGGATACGAGACTCTGGAAACGTGGTGAAGGTAGGGCTTTTGTCAACAGGTCAGCTAATTGATCCTCAGAAAAAACATGAGATACACCCATGGTACCAGCAATGACTTGTTCTCGAACAAAGTGACAATCAGTCCCTACATGTTTCATACGTTTGTGAAAAACAGGATTCTTGGTGAGACATATTGCTGACTGATTATCACAAAGAAGATGAGGCGGAGGAATGGGAACACGGAGATCGGCCAAAATGTAGGTTAACCACATAACCTCAGATGCTGCAGCAGACAATGCTCGATATTCTGCCTCAGTAGAAGACTTAGACACACGAGTCTGTTTCTCTATACTCCAGGAAACTAAGTTTGGTCCCAGTAGACTAAATATCCTGTAATAGAGCGCCCATCACTCATATCATTTGTCCAGTCTGAATCCGAGTAAGCACGCAGCTGAAGATCACCAGGCTGAAAGACAAGACTACGATCAAGAGTTCCTTTGACAAAACGTAGAATCCGCTTCAAACTCTGAAAATCATTTTCTGTGGGAGCATGCATCCTTTGACACACATAATTAACTGCAAATTGGATATCAGGACGAGTAGTGGTGAGATACTGGAGACCACCAACAAGACTGCGAAACAAAGTGGGATCATCAAAGAGCTGTTCACCCCCATCTGCGTCCGTCTGCCGTACAGGTAACGGC